CACCACACCTGTAGGTGGCTCAAAGACGTCGGCGAACAGTCAAGCAACCGCACCACGCGGGGGTCCAAAGACAAGTCTGCAGGTGAAGGTTTGGTTGTAGCGATGGTCCGAAGAAAACAAAGGTCGATCTCGTCGGTCTGCTCGTAAGCACAAGTCGCCCGAGAAAACTTGGCCGTCGCAACTTCATCGGATCGAAGGGTGCGGAGGAGGTATGGTACACGGGACTTTGGTGCCGAAAGCATAGCGAACTGTGACCGTCCGCCGATGGAAGTTGACCGTGTGGTCTGCTTTCACAAGCCAAGGCATCCCCAAAATCATATCAAAATTTGTGTCTAACACGTCAAACGTGACGACTTCACGCGCATGTGGTGCGAAATAAACCGGCACGGCTTCAATGTAACAATCAAGAAGTTGTTGCATCCGACCGTCTGCCATCTTGACCGTCGTAGGATGTAGCTTCCTCCGAACTTGTGCACCAAGGCCAGCCCGTTGGATGAAGGACTGGGTCACAAAATTGCGAGTCGCGCCGCTATCCAGCAAAGCGTTGCAGGACGCTTTCCCAACTTGGATGCGGACATACAATAGCGGTGCGTTGATGTCGTCCTACCTCTGCGTGCGAAAATTGCGGGCCACCTTGGAAATGTACGCAAGGAGGTCCCCCACCGCGACTTCGTCATCCATTCGCGAAGTTGGCAGTGCATACAAGGACAAGTATTTGCAAGTGGGCGCATAGTGTTGCGCAATGCGGCTCCACCAAGCAGCCTGTCGAAGGGAGAGGAAGCCAAATCCTCGAGCGTCAACCGGTCCAAGTCGTCCGCGTTGAACTCGTGCGCCGACTCCCTTGAAGAAGGTGAAGACGAAGAAACCAGACTGCTAGCGGACGGAGAGAAAGCCACGCACACCACTTGTCCATGAACAAGAGAGCCCAGCGATGGAACGAGCCAGGCAGCAAAGTCCTCGAGCGAAGATAGAGAACTTACGACTTTCGCACGTGCCCCTGAAGTAAGGGAGGTTGCTTGCGAAGCAACCAGTTCCAGTGGCATCGAGAGTGCAATCGTATCACTCTCGGCGGTGATCACTTTCCTGAATGGGACTTCCCCTTGGCCTTTGTGGGGCAACTCCTTGTTTCATGTGCGCCGTTGTTGCACCACAAACAATACTTGTACCTTGAGTGGACCTTGTACGCCACCTTGGAGATGCCAAACTGGAGCCAAGGTTTTTGAGTTGTTGTCCCGGTCCCTGGATATGAAGTGGTGGTTGTCTTCTTCTTAAAGCACCCCTTGCCTTTGGGGGGATGGCCACCATCCCGGGAGGTTGCTAACATGTCTCCCTCATCCAACGAAGCAGCCTTGTTATTTGAACTGGTCGGCGTAGTTGCTGCGACCACAGCCACCTTCGGTCGATGTTGATCCCTGTTCGGGGCTGCGGAAGATAAACAAGCGGTGTTACGAGCCTCCGTGTTCGTCACGATAATCAGCGAGGCCTTGGCAAATAATAACTCACTCGTGGTGAGCATCTCCGCAACTTGCGTCAAGGCATTTTGCAATGTCGGGCATGACCGTGTGATGAAATAGTGCTTCACGCCCGTGCAGCTGATCGACAAGTCGGGCGTGGATGCCAAGCGCTGGAACTCGGCGATCCAATCCATGTTGGGCATGGAGTTCTGATGGAACTGCTACAACTGCTCCATTGCCTTGAGCTCGGGCGGTTTCACTTGGAACTGTGTGTGCCATGTTACAGCGAGATAACCCCAAGTGATCTTCGTGTGCAGCTCAGAGAAGATGACCTTGTAGGTGGACAACATGTTATCAAGCCAAGCTTGGCATGCGCCGCCCAACCGGTGATAGAGACATGCATGCCGGTCGTTGGACAGCACATGGTGCATGTCCAACCTCAAGGTAAATTGCCACCACCACGGAATTGGATCGGTTTTCGACGCGTTGCAGAAAACCGAGATTTCGTCCAACTTGGGTGGTCGGTTGGAGGATGACGAGGCTGGACCTGTTCGTGATGAGCGCGAGGCTGAGGGAGAGTCGAGGGAGAGGAGAGAGAGAGGGAGAGAGTGAGAGCACACACACACACTCACTCGACACGACCGAGGGTCGAACGCAGACACAGTGGCAAGGGTACAAAGTCGAAGTCTTGGATTCCGAATGCCGAAACAACAAGTCACACTGAGTACGAGTACAGCAGCTGAAAACTGGTACAAGACTGGTCCCCGTACTGTACAGCAGGACAGTATAAGTACCGGTGATACATACAGTACCAGGGGCATTTCCGCAAAAGCCTCCGAGGGGAGAACTGAAAAATGTGGTATTTGAAAGTGGCGCCCGAATTGCAGCATGGCGCTAGTTGTCCAAAATCCGACGGTACCAAAGCAGGGGTTTGGAAAAAAGGGTGCCAGGCCGAAAACGGGATGCAGCAGAAACAGCAAAAAGATAGACCAGGGATCGAGCCCTGGCGTAGTCCGTAACACTATCCCCTCCCTCCGAAAGGCAACGTCCCGACTGCCAAAAAGCCAAGCAAACAAAAAGAGTTGTGAAGGACGGGACGGGGCCGATCACTGGTCAGAGAAGGAGAAGGGGAGTGATGCAAGTCACAGGGTATTCTGTCTGGTGTTTTGCACAGGTGAAGGTATGATGTGACTAGGTGGGTCTATAGGAGAAGCTAAGCAATGTTCAGGGAACATGGGATTTCTATTGATGTTCTACTGGGTAGGGGAAACGATGTTCAGGAAAACAGGGAATTTCTATTAATGTTCTAGTGGGTAAGGGAAACAATGGTCAGGGGAACGGGGAATTTCTATTGATGTTCTAGTGGGTAAAGGGAACAGTGGTAAGGGAAACAAGGATCTGCTAATGATGTTCTACAAGGTTGTCAAAGTCAGGAAAAAAAAATAAAAATAAAATGTTTGTTCAGGAGGCAAGGGCTGGTGTGTCCGAAGGAGTCAGAAGCAGAATCTCATGTAGGAACAAAGTGTCCAAGTGTCTTGAAAGGGGATCTGCAGCGGTCTTGATCAGGTCTTACAGTAGGTGGTAGAAGCGGTCTTCAGCGGCTGCGACAGGTAGAAGTCAAAGAAGCGTAACAGTAGTTCAAATGTCCAAAGTCCAAGTGCTAGGGTGCGTCCGGTACACGAATTGCAATGATGTCTGATCTAGAAGCAAGGAAGTCGCAGACTGATGCAAAGATCCATGTCACAAGTTGCTGCTCCAGTAAGTCCGCGAGTCGGGATGCCGGCCAATGAAACAGCATGGTGGCCAAACCAGCTGCATAATCTCCATGAACAGTGAGGCGGCAGGCCATTGTCCTCGTGCGCTTTCCATTAGATCCTTTATCGCCGCTGTCACGCAGGTTCATAAGCATTGGACAAGAGAGACAAGGTAGTGGAGAGGACAGATGGGACAAGGCTAGGCGAGGGCAAGGGCAGATCAGACATCAGGAATCGGGGTCGAGGGGAGGGCGGGGGTCGAGGGGAGGGTGGACTGGGTTCAAAGGTGTGTGTAGAACGGGGTTGCGAGGTTGTAGCAAGGTTTATACAAGGGCTTAGGGTTGTAGTTACATGGGTGTCTAGGACATAGGAGTAGCATGATGATAGGCGCGAACAAGTTTCATGGCATTCTTGAGATTCGGCAGAGGTTCCCATGTAGATTCTTCGTCGGGTTATCCGGTCTATTTGACTTTGTATTTAGTGATTGGTTCCGGGTGGTCAGATACCTGAGTAGTTCGTCGACCTATGATTGCTTCAACAACGAATTCAGGGCCTGTGGGTAACATGATAGGTGGAGGTCTAGGATATGGGCGGTCAGCGAATTGGGGTAGGGATTCATGATATTCTTTCAAGTATCCGACGTGGAAGACCGGGTGGACGCGGCTCATGTCGGGGGGGAGTTGGAGTTTGTAGTTGACGTCGGAGGTTTTTTCAATGATGGGGAAGGGTCCGAGCCATTTGTTCGAGAGTTTCTTTGACAACCCACGTTCGGGTTCAAAGCGTTTGGCGGAGAACCAAACTTTGTCCCCTACTTTGAATTGCAAGTCTCGTTTGTGTTTGTTTTTCATGTTTGCTTGTTGTTCTTATGTTCTTTCGAGGGCTTCGGTTGCTTCTCTGAGGAGTCGATTCATTGTTGATTCATTGAGGGAAGGGCAGGGTGTGGATGGGTTGAGTTGCGAGGGAAGTACGAAATCAGAGGGCAAGTGTGGATAGTAGCCAAGGTCAACGTAGAATGGAGACATGCCAGTGGAAGGACAGACAACATTGTTGTAGGCGATCTCGGCGGCGGTGAGCAACTGATCCCAATCGTGTTGTTGTGGATGACAATACTTCCGTAGGATTCTTTGGAGAGTATCGTTCATCTTCTCGATTTGTCCATCAGTCTGTGGGTGGAATGCAGTGCTATACTTGAGTGTAGTTCGGTAGGCGTTGAAGAGTTGTTTCCAGAACTGTGAGAGGAAACAGGGATCGCGGTCGCTGATGATATTCTCGGGGAGGCCGTGGTGGCGTGCAACATGGTCGAAGAAGAGTAAGGCCATGTCTTTGGCGGTGTGCGAGGTTGTGCAAGGAATGAAGTGGGGGCGTTTGGTTAGGCGACAGACAATGACGTAGATGCAATCATGCCCGCGGTCGGTCTTAGGGAGACCGCACACGAAGTCCATGGAAATGGACTGCCACCGGTGAATGGGAATGGGCAATGATTGGAGCTTGCCGGGTTTGGCCCGGTTCGAGGGATTAACAGCCTGACACATGGGACATGAGCGAATATATGTTTTGACGTCGGTGAGTAGAGACGACCAATAGACGTAGCGCGAGATGGTGTCGAAGGTTTTCTGGAAACCGAGGTGACCTGCAGTCTTGGCGTCGTGGTGCTAGGGCAGGAGCTGGGTATGGAGACCACGTGTGTCAGGGATGCACAGTCGGCAAGTGCCTTTGGTGTTGATGTAGAGGAGGTTGTCGTGGAGGGAGTAGTCGGGGACTGAGTCAAGATCGCAAAGCTTGTTGTAAATGGCGGCGAAGTCTGGGCAAGAGAGGTAGCCTTGGGTGTATCGGTGATGGAGTGATGGGAGGAGCTGGATATGGGTCATGGCAGCATAGACTTTCTCGGCGGGCTTGTGGTCGGGTCGTCGAGAGAGGGCATCAATAACGGGGTTGCTTTTGCCGGGGGTATGGCAAATGGTGAATGTAAACTAGGCAAGGAAGTCGAGTCATCGAGCTTGGCGTGGGGTGATGTCTTTCTTGGCGAGGATGGAAGAAACGATGGTGTTGTCAATGCGGATGGTGAAGTATTGCCCGTCGAGGTACGGGTGCCAGACTGTGAGGGCGTGAATCACAATGAGGAGTTCCTTCTCGTCGGAGGGGTAATTCATCTCCGCGGGAAGGAGCTTCTTGCTTGTGAAGGCGATGGGGTATTTGCCGGATGGAGCCTCGGGGTGAGTGGGCGAGTCCTTGATGGAGGGGGTCTCGGCGGTGTCCCGGGAGGAATGTTGGGACCGTACAACTCCAATGGCGAAGTCGAAGGCATCAGTGGTGACATAGAAATGGCGAGTGGGTCGACGATCTTGAGGACAGGGTCGTGGTGATGGTTTGCTTGAGGAAGTCGAAAGCATGTTGGCGGGGATCGTTCCAATCGAAGGGCTCGTCCTTGCGTGTGAGTTCGTGGAGAGGGTAAGAGATCTCGAAAAAGTTGCGAATGAACGGGCGGTAATAGTTGGCAAGGCCGAGGAAGGAACAAAGTTGGAGGAGGGTCTTGGGCGAGGGTTACTCGACGAGGGTTGTGACCTTCGAGGGGTCCATAGGGATGCCTTTAGCGGAGACAATGTGGCCAAGGTATTCGACGCTCGAAGCGGCAAACGTACATTTGTTGAGCTTTGCGTAGAAGTTTTGCTCTCAGAGGATCAAGAGGACTTGGCGAATGTGCTGAAGGTGGGACTCGAAGGTGGGGCTAAAGATGAGGATGTCATCAAGGTACACGACGACACAGACTTCGAGGAGGTCACGAAAGATGTGGTGCATGGTGGACTGGAATGTGGCGGGGGCATTGGTGAGTCTGAAAGGCATTCGAGGAACTCGTAGTGCCCGAATCGAGAGCGGAATGCGGTCTTGTGGGTGTCCTCCTCGCGGATACGGATCTGGTGGAAGCCACTGTGGAGGTCGATCTTGGTGAAATATTTGGCTCCACGGAGGCGATCAAGAAGTTCAGATATCCGGGGGAGTGGGTACTTGTTCTTGATCGTGATCCGATTCAAAGCACCGTAGTCTGTGCACAAGCGGAGTTTCGAGGTGCCGTTCTTCTTGACGAAGAGACAATTCGTTCCGAAGGGGGAGGAGCTAGGCTAAATGACTCCTTTTTTAAGGAGTTCATTGAGCTGGCGATTCATTTCTTCAGCCTCGGGGACGGAGAGTTGGTACGGAGGGGGGAATGGAGGAGAATGGCCAGGCTCGAGATCAATGGTGTGGGATACACCTCGATCGGGAGGTAAACCGGCTGGCAAGGACTCAAGGAAGACGTCCTTGAATTCAGAGAGGAGAGCGGTGATGTGAGAATCAGAAGGGGGGTCTTGGTCGGGTTTGTCCATTGAAGGAAGTCCTCGGGACGCTCGTGGTCGATAACAAGACAATAGTAAGCAGAGTCGGGGTGTTCACGAGATATGTGAAGGGACTGGCGAGGGGAGACAGGGGGTGGGGTAGAAGGAGGGAGAAGGTAAGGGATATCAAGAGGAGAGTCGGGAGGGCGGGTGAGTCGGACGAAGGAGGGGTGGAAGGAGTAGGGCATGAAATGGTCAAGCTATGGAGTCCCCAAGACGATGTCGCACATGAGGTGCATGACATCGAAGGAGACCTGCCTGCGAAGAGGACCGACAATCATGAGGGTTCGGGGACAGTGCGATCGACAACGATGGTTGAGTCCTTATCCCCTAGTCGGATGGTGATCGTGGATTCATAACCGGTGGAAAAGAGAGGTAGACTTTGCGGACACAAGCTTCGGTGCCGGTGGCACCAATATCAAGGAGGGCCCGGAACTTCACCGTCGATGCGCCAAGGGAGATGGCGATAAACTTGAGCTGGAATTGGGCGGTTTTGGCACAAGCAGAAGAGATCATGGTGTTGAGGCGGCGTTGTTCCAAGCCTGATCTAACAAGTCGATCGTGTCGTGCTTATTCCTCAACGAGATCGGAGAAGGTGGTAGAGAAGGGGTTAGGGATGAGAGTAGAAGAGTAGGTGTCAGTGGGAAGCTCGACCGACGAGATAGCAGACGTCGTCGGGAGGGGGGGAGGCAGAGTAGAATGCGGCGCCTGGGGGTCGTCCGATGGGATGTGCGTCACTGGAGGGGGGGGAGGCAGACGGATAGTCGATGCCAAGTGGGCCGCTGGTGGAGGAGAGATCGTCACCGATGGGAGAGCCGACAGACAAGTGGTCGATGTCGGGGGAAGAGACAGGGGGAGGGTGTTTAGGTGGAGGAGGGCCCGGCTGTCGCGGTGGAGGAAGAAGTGAGAGTAGAAGGGTCGGTGTCGAGCGCATCGGTCCGACACCGCCCCGGGCAGCGCGGGACCCTCCCGGCCGAGTCACGCAGGAGTAAGTCTCTTCCTTCCGCGAAAAACACTCTTGGAGCTTCCGAAGGCCGCTCCGGCCGAGAGCGCCAACCATACCTCTCGCGAGCCCCTACGACAGGATAGGGCCTGCACGAGGCACGACTGACCTCCACCTTACGGGAGCTGTCACCTCCCTTCGGTGTCCGTATCCCCGCCAATGTACCAGTCCACAATACGAAAGTTAATCAGTTGCAATCGCAGAGTTGGACCAGCCGAGGGCGTTTCTCGTTTGCTGTAGCATAGGGGGTACGCGCGATGTTATGCCTTTATCGGACCCGCTCGCGAACCGACATCTTGGGGGGCTGAAGTCCCAAGCGCGATCCGACGTCGGTCGACTAGGATGTATCCCATGCACCACGCGCACACCACTCTAACGGACACAAAAATAAAACACGCACACGTACGCACACATATACAAACGACAATGAACAAACGACAATGAACAAACAACGCGACAACACTCCTAGTCCCTTCAGTAGCCATCCCATAACTTTCTGATGCGGAAATCAGATAGGTGTCCCGCACGAGACTTAGTATAAAACCGTGCGGACACAAGGCCTACTCATATCGACTAGCAATGCAATCATTCGCAAGCAGTCGCAATGGTGGCGTAAGGCCTACTCATATCGACTAGCAATGCAATCATTCGCAAGCAGTCGCAATGGTGGCGTACTATGTAGTACCCATACTCATGCGGTCCTTGTTAGTCTCGAGGGTCGCATTCGACACTCAAGTGTCGGCTGACACGCGCCTTGAGGGTTAATCTCTAGACGTTGTACAACCGCCAAGCTATGTGACACCCGCGGCCTAGGCCGCGGGCATTTTGGCCGCTGCGACCGATGAGGCCCAATCCGCGGCCTGGTTTTTCAATATTTTTTTTCTCCCACTAAAAATACGTAAAAAACAAATATACATATATATGGGGGTGTAGGGCTTGAAAAACCCTACACTCTTATATTTTTTTTTTTGGAATCCGACTTTGTTTAAGATTTAAAAAAAGACAAAAACTAAAATCGATTTAAACAAAAAAAAAAAAAAAAAAAAAAAAAAGGAATTTTTTTTTTTTTTTTTTTTTTTTTTTTTTTTTTTTTCCTGAGTACACTTGTATTTTTTTTTTAATTGGATTTTTGTTTTTTGCAGGGAAATGAGGTGTTTTAAAAAATAAAGATGCAAAATTTCAAAACAAATAACAAAAAAGGGGTTTGATTGATTGATTGATTGATTTTTTGTGTGTGCATGTGTGTGTGCTTGTGTGTGTGTGTGTGTGTGTGTGTGTGTGTGCACGTGTGTTTGTGCGCGCG